ACCGCCAGAAACGAATGAAAATTGCTTCTCGTAAGAAAAAAAAAAAAAAAAAAACGTCTTAGCCAACACAATGGGGCTGCGCGCGGGACTTAGTCTGGGCACCTTGCCAGGACTACACTCCTTTGTAAATAACTTTTTTTGTTGTTTCATTCATTTGTTTACTATTAGCGTGTACGCTCGGGACAGTAACAATAGTTGGCCCGCTTTGATTTTAAACTATGGAGCCTAATGTTACCCACTCTATCATCGTTAGTGTACTGTATACTTGACCCGTTGTAAAAACTACAATCGATTCAATGCTTTCCTGACGTGTAACTTTTGTTTTGATTGCTATATCATATATCTGGTATTTGAACGTGGGAATTAACACTACATTCCACTAATGCTTGAGCCGAATTGCGGCCTCCAGTATCTCGTAAATAGAACCATGAACTGAACTATATATTATTTAAAACTAATGTAAGTGATGTACATCGCTATGGAAGTAAACGCAAAAATTGTGAAAACGTTGAATTACTTGCATGACCTTTAATGAAAAAGCTATGCACTAAACGTAAACTAATTTTTTTACTCTTAGTAAACAAAAAGTATGCCTAAAGTTTTTTTTTTTTGTTTTTTTTTATTTACCGGCACTTTCTGTGAGAAGAGAACCGTGAATTTCAGCCCTGGTAAATAAACCGCATCGCAGAAAACTCAAACTCCGGGAGATTGTGACGCTAGCGGGTGGGATAAAACTCGAAAGTTTGAGAACATTACGTGTCCTGGATTAAAAGAAAACTGAGAAAGAATGAAATTTATTTATGAGCCGACGTTCACCTAAGTCTCATATCGTCCTAACAAGAAATGACGTTGTGGACGCTTGTGGAATTTATATCAGCGAAATACACTTGTCAGGAAGGAAGAGATTATTGTTATATTTTCCTTTCTTACAATCATTTTTTTTTTATTAGGTGCTACAGACACCCAGATTCTCACTTCTTGCTTTCACGATATTATGCTTCGGTGGACTTCGCCTCACAAAGAAAAAAAAAAAAAAGATTACATGTTTTTCAATTATCTTTTGATCCAGGTAACGTCCTGCTCTCAAGCTTTTGCGCTCTATTCCAACCGATAGCGTGACGTTCTCGCAGAGTTAAGATTTATGCACTGCATAACACCCTAGGCCGAAGAAAACATTTCTCTTTTTTCGAAACACCCCGCACTCTCAATATCTTAAGCACAGACCTGCAATATACTTTCAGTTTACATAGTTTTGGTTTAGTGATGCGGTCTGCGCGTCCACCCGATCTTTTTAAAAGCGTACGTTTAATATATACTATTAGTAAACTAAAGAAGCACTTTAAGTGCACTGTAATCTTTGCAAAGTGTTTCATATAAGTACAAGATTAGTACACCTGTAGTGTATTACTTTTTTTTTTTACCAAGAGGAGTATCATTTACAAATTTGATTCAAACAAGCCCACAAAGAAATTATCACGTATTTACCTAAGGGCAGACTAAATTTAGCTTGGCGAGTAAAAAGCCGAGCGCCGGTCGTCTAATTGGCAGTGCCCTACATCCCTACGTGCTCTTCTTTGAGTGGGTTCCCAACTTTAACGGGAATGCAAATCCCGTAATGGGATCCCTCTCCAGATTAATTAGGAAAACCGCCCCGCCTAGTCTCAAAGCAGGCGACGCGGTGAGACGCCACCTACACTCACTGTCGCACAATTCTTAATGAGGTTCGAGAAAAAAAAATAAACGAATAAGATTATATTGCGGGGAGAAACATTTCGAAGGACCGCCCCATAAGAGCGTTTCTGTGTCGCCTTGCAATTAAAACGTTAGCTTCCTTTTTGAGTACTTGCACTTAATTTCTTTTTCTCCTTCAGAAAATGGCACAACTTAAGATGAAGAAAAAGAATAATACACTTTAGAAATGTAGGGAGCATGAAGTGGGGCCCTGCTAGGGTTGGGAAAACGCTGGTTCGCGCTGTAGACGAGATATTTACTCAGTGCAGTACGACTGCTGCTGACCTGGGGTTTTTAACGTGCGCCACGCCATAGGGACTCACGACCGCACCCCGGTACGATGCTTATCCAGATCGAAACGGGCAGGGGATGGGGATCGAGCCAAGGATGGATCCTGCAGCGCGACCTTTCACTTGCACACGCTCCGAAGCGCGCGGTGCGATGTGACACTCGGTCACCGATCAGCCCTAAAGACTCACGGACGCTTGAAGAAGCTCTGACATAAAAGCAGCACCAAGCGCAGCGTCAGCACCTCGTAATTGTCTGTCCACGATTTCTGTAGGTGGTGTCGGATCACCCGTTGAGTCATCCGTCCGAATTCGCCGGGGAGCTTCCACGACAGAAAGCGCGCGCGGCGGTCGAAACAACAAGCTGCAGGAGGTCACGAACACCTGTGTCCGCTGTCGTGACCACGGGAACGTCATGTGCCTTGTTCGGCACTTCTCGGGTCGAGGCAGGCCCCGGGCAGAATGACAAGGCCTGCTTCTGACGTCATCGTAGTACGTCACAAAGCGGCTTACAGACGCGATTGGCGTCGATGCCTGCTTGCATCGCGCTCGTTGTTACACGTGCGCGCTGGCGTTGATGCTAAGGCGTCGCTACGTGGATTCACTTGCGATGACGCCTGGGAGGAGGGGAAAGGGGCGCAGGCCAGGCCTTGTCTTTTAGGCAGGATTGCCGCAGGAGATCGGTTATTCGAGCGCTTCCGCTTTCTTGGTGGGCAGCGGGGCGTCTATGAATGACGGCGTGGGGAAGGAAACAAAACATTTCCGGTGCGGGCGTCCGAAACCATCACGTCCCGGCGCCGGGACCGCTTTTCTATATTTTATTTGTCTTCGAGCATTGAGGGAGATACGAAGACGCCATTTGCTGTCTCCGGACTCTCTGGGAGGAACCCTTTCGACTCGGGGTGCCTGCAAAGCTGGCTTTTTTTTAAAGCACCGGAGGCTAACCAGAAGCCGACTTCAAGGAATCCCGGAGAAAAGCTCACCGGAGAAAAACTCACCGGAAAAAAACTCACCGGAGAAAAACTCACCGGAGAAAAGCTCACCGCAAAAGCGGCGGATGTGGAGAAAAGCTCACCGGCCATTGAGCGTATGCGGAGAAAAGCTCACCTATATTTTTTCTTCTTTTTATATGGAGGCTGTCATTAAAATTCGTCAGCTTTGTAAAAAAATGTCCTTTTTGTATATTGCTCTGTGGCTTACTCTCAAGGCAACGAAAGCCTAACTGAGAATTTTATGAACTTGAAGAACAGAAAAAAGTTAAAAAACTTAATGATGTCTGCCTAAAACCTAAAAAATCAAAGCTGTAACTGCCGAAAATTCAAAAGTGCATGCGCAACAACGCGGTGCCTGAAATTCTCTTTGAAGCTTTTGTTAACCTTTGAAAACAAGATAAAACAATCAATAGGATATCGAGGCTTCTTTCTTCCACGGACATGCACTCTTTCTAGCCGTTCGTGCTGGTGTTTTCACACGTTCCCTTTGTGTGATACTGAGTGCCCTTCTACGGTGAGCCACCCATGACCTTCGGAGCTGCGCATCGGCACCGTTGTTACTCTTAACCTATAGAAGAAGTAGTCTTCTGTTATGCAGCGAATAGGGCGAATTGGTAAACGTTATACATGATGAAAACCGCTCAAACGACGACGACGGTGTGAAGAAAGCAAACACGACAAGCGAAGCTGTTCTCGCAACTAAAGTTTTGTTAGTGAAATTAACAGAAACGAAACAGCGTAGCCGACACTGATTACATCAACAAACACCTTCTTATCTATTAGGCACTACACAATATTTGGAGCTGAACCGTTTCACACGCCGCTATTCATTATAGCTCGCAAGGAAGAAACCTCTTTATCTGACAGAGCTAGCGACGGCGCGCTGTCAGCTGTCAATAATTTGTTGCCTTTTTATCGGTGTACGATGTTTTGATTTTATGCTTGCAGCTTCATTATGTATAGAATGGGTGATTACTAATTTCTGAGGAATTTGTAAATATGCTCAATGAACTTCAAGAATATTACAAAAGAAAAGGACATTTTTATTGAAGTGACGAATACGAATTGTGTTAAATTGCCACGTTTGGCGCAGAATCAAGCTAAGCTAAAAAAAAAATATCGGTGAGCTCTTCTCCGCATCCGCTCAAAGGCCGATGAGCTTTTCTCCGCATCTGCCGGTTTTGCGGTGAGCTTTTCTCCGGTGATCTTTTCTCCGGTGAGCTTATCTCCGGTGAGCTTTTCTCCGGTGAGCTTTTCTCCGCCGCCCGACTTCAAGAACTCATTCCTCGTGTCAAATCGTCTTCGACACTGCCCTTTCGAGGAGGCCAACCCATTCGTAATACGCAAACTCGTATGGTTGTATATGTGCGAATATCCAACGTTTTCGGGTGAAACTTCTAATTAAGAGGTAGTTTGAATGGCATGGCTCAAGGAGTTCAGTGAGCTTGTTTTCCACGCGTTGTAGGGGACTCCCGGCAATCCATTTTGTTGTCATCTTGTCAAATTTTTTAGCTTTTCATCGTTGCCCATCCCGACCACGTGTTTCATGCTAAACGTACAAGTTTGTGTTTTCTCAAGGCATAAAGTAAGCCCGTATGTGTGACGGTAACCGACGGCCCAGTCCACCTCGGGTGTGCGTACGCCCGTGCCAATGAGCTACAACAGACCTATTCAACGCCTGCCTACGCTGCTTATGGTGCGAGTTTTATCCGCCACCTTGAAGATCTGGGTAGATAAAACAAAAATAAACAAAAAGCCGTGTTTTTGTTTTGTTTTGCTTTTTTTCTTCTTTTCTTTTTTTTTAGTTTTGTGTGACCCTCGCGGTTTTGTTAGTTCGACACACGGTACAGCCCGTTTTATCTAATGCCACCGTTTTGGTGCTAACGACGGTAAGTTTTTAGGTATCCAAGACATAACAGCACTCGCGTATCCAATGTCCAACGAGGCGGTGTGGGAAGAGGTGTGGCTAAGAGCGCCACTGCCGTTTCAGCGCCAGCTTCTGGAGGAGAAGCAGCGCCACAAGCGTCAGTCGCAGGGACTTCTGCTGGCGTCGGACGCCCGACCGGCGTCCAGCCACGTCCGCAACCGGAAGCCACGTAGGGACGAGGCCAGGCCCCTCATGGCTGGACTCAGCATCGAGAGGCCCGTCCAGGACGTGGTCACCTGTGAGCGAACCCGGTTTGACCTTAGGGCCGGCTTGCTAGAAGCCAGTTCTTAGCACAGTCTGTGTGTAAGAAAGCCTGTGAGTTATGGGGCGTGTGAGCGCTTGAGACTGGACTTCATGTGCCACTCCGCTCGTGCACTAGCTTTGGTAGTGCTTTCTTACATACACAGTCTTAGCTAAAAAAAAACTCTGTTTATATCCAGCGGGTCTTGTTCACGAAACTTCACTGTCACTTAGCTTTTTTCTTTGACATGTAATACTATCAAGTGGTCGGTTTTGATAGTGCACCTAATGGAAAGAAAACCATGGTATAATCACTTAGTTACTTGGCCATGCTTGAAAGGAACCCCAAATTAGAAGGAAAGTACATTTCAAAGACGAGGGTGTAGTGGGCGAGTTTTATTATGTTTGTTTAGTTGTAAGCTAAGAGCGTGCAAAGCCTTGAAATGACCACTAGAAGAACAACAAAAAGTTGGCCGTTGAAGTATGAGGTACACGCGAGGGATAGGTGGTAAAGTGGGGTAGCTGGCAGTTAAATCAAACGCGAGCAGGTGAGCGTAGGCTCTTGGAGATGGTCTTAAACGGAGTCGTCATGAAGTTCTTTCAGACATGCCGGTTTAACAGTGATGGGCACTGTTTGGCGAAATTCATGTAACCGTACTCGTAGTATATATTGTATTTAAAGTATAGTAAAAAAATGCAGCGTGTCAAACTCGTAGGGAACTGCAGCTGACCGAATCGATCCCGGGTACTTTTCAAACAAGAATATTTTATATGGGTACTATATATATCTTTCCACCAAACAATAAACACTGAAGTTTTTTTAACAAAAACCGGACATCTGATTTCAGAATGAAGGGCTTGTCAATAATGAACATCCCCGCGATCCTGTTATTAACATCAACTATTTATTATGAACAAAAAGTTGCCGAAGTTCTGCGAGATCGGCCGTAAAGTACGTGAAAACTCTACTCTATTAGAAAAAAAGTATGTGCTCTTATAATGTAATTGGTGTAACGTTCGAGTACTCATGAAGCACTTGTGGCACCCCCTTCTAAACAGGAGACTTTTGGTACTTTTCAACTCAACATTGCAAACAAGTCTGCTTTATGCGAACGCTGTGTTTTGTTTGACGTTGGCCTCCAACCAGTGGCTCGGTGTCAGAGCTTGCTGACGCTTAATGGTGAAAGAGCAAGAACAAATCAGCTACCTTGAAATAAGAGAGCGAAAATTTTGGTACCTACATTCCAAACCAAGGAAGGGCGCGTGGGAGTCGGAACCGCCTATCGAAGGGACCGAAGACTTCTACACGGAAAATTTCAATTCCCTGAATCTCCAGTCCTGGAGTCTTCAGTCCTGGAATTCTGTCTTGGAGTCTCCAGTACTGAAGTTTAGAGTGTTGAATAGTTCAGTCCTGTAATGTTCAGTGCTGACGTCGTCTGTGCTGAAGTCTCCAGTTTGGGAGTATTCATTCCTCAATTGTTCAGTCGTGGAGTTTTTAGTCTTGAACTTACAACCGAAAACACGTTGCCAACGCCGCAATCAGCATCTGCCCGGTTGATCTTGGCCAAAAGGCAAACCGGCAGCTAACTTGAAGTCCCACGGCCGACACTAATAAGGGACTTGTGTTTCTTCCACGCGTGCTGGTGCATCGTGGACCTTAGCTGAAGACCGCACTTCCGACCTCTACTCGCAGGCTACGACGGCCCGATGCTGTTCAGCAGCTCGGACAATCCTGACGCGCCTGGCGACGACGTTGTCACCCAGGTGATCGACGAGGACATGGACGGAGGAAACCCTATGGCCATCGCTCGCAACAACAGCCCCGTGCCCCCGTCTCCTGGTATGCGATGCGCTGAGCTCCTGGAAGCTTTGGCCACTTCAAAAAACACTGAAATCTTTTTCAAGCTCTAAAATTGCCGTCGCTCAATATATACCACAGTAAACGGAAGTCGTCCTTTTCGCATGTAATTGTAAAATAGACAAAAACAAAAATGTACGACCTAACACACTTGCGCGCACATTGAAGTGCGCACAAATTGCATGTGTGCGCGGTCTTTTGCGGCGCAAAATGTAAGGCAAAATTTGCAAATCGATATAGCGAAGCGTTTTGGATATAGCCATCAATTAGACTACAGTTGTCAGGCTTTTCGAACAAGAAATATTGAAGACACGAACTCCCTTATTTAAGGTACATAAAGAACAGACACAAAACAGTGCAATAAGGAGTATGGTAACGTTGATGTTGTCACGATTATTTTTCTTTCAATCTGACTAGCTCATTTTGACAGACCTGATATCAGTCAATAGCGTTCGTTTTTTTTCTGCTACTACACTTCATGGCGTCTGGCGGCGAACACTTTAAGTCGTCCGAGTCAAGCGCGAGGGGCTGCGCTGTCATAACAGGCGCATTCTAATGATGCAAAACTATTGATAATTCGACTGTCGATACTATCGGTAGTTTTCCCAAAACTATCGATAATGTCGCGGAACTATCGATAGTCGACTATCAATAGTACTATCAATAGTTTTTCGATAGTCGACTATCGATAGTACTATTGATACTGTTTTGATAGTCGAATATCGATAGTATTATCGATTGTTTTTCGATAGTCCACTATCGATGGTACTATCGATAGTTTTTCGGTAGTCTTTCGATAGTCGACTATCGATAGTACTACCGATAGTTTTTCGATAGTCGGCTATCGATAGTGTTTTCGATAGTCAGATTTCTGGCGACTATCGATACTATACTATCGATAGTTTTGCACCACTAGCACAGCCACAAACCCCACGAAAGGCACATCGTATTTTTTCCGAGCTTGTTCATTGCCCTACTGCTGGACTTTATGAGGAGTCACCCAGAACCAGGATTGAGGCTGGCAACAACGGGACACTTCTGTGACGCCATCAGGCGGAAATCGAGGGACCACTTTCAAGGACATGGTAAACACGCTAGTCGGAGACGCGCTCCAGACACCATAGTCTTGGCGGTGTTGCAATTTTGAAAACATCAGGTTGACGTCAAGTAACTCATCGTGGTTACTGCTTTTCCTTCTTGGTCCGCGGAGTGATTCCACGCCGTGGCTCGTACGTGGTGGTGATTATTCGGTGCACTCTTGACTCGTGTCCGACCATAGAGCCTTCTGATAACCGCCTTCTGCGTGCTGCCATCTTTTTCTATACTGGGCTGCTGGATGCGTTCTGAACATGCGCAGTGGCTCTCTTCTGAGAATTATTAGACGTCACGCGTCATTTTTCAGCCCAGCGACTCGGCATTTTCCGCCTCAGCGATAATCAGTGCAAAGGTGTAGGGATGGCATCGGTAGATGGGCAAAGCAGACACGTGTCCCTCGTCCAACACGTTCGCGTTTGTGGAAGAGTGGTAGATCTGCTCCTCAAGCGCCGGACAAGGTGTTTGTTTGACAATAAGGATACCCTCTCTCTCTTTGTCTCTCTTCCACAGAGGTGCGTGCCAAGATGAGTAAGATGGAGCTGAGCGAAGAGGTGACGAGCCTCGACGGAGACGAGGACCTGGAGAGCACGCCAGTCACCTCACCGGTGCTGGACACTCCCTCAGACCCCGGAGACAGGGACGCCAGGGTGCGCACCTTTTTGAGAACGGCAGGGCGTTTTCTCGGATGCCCGGCCTCGCATTCGGAAAAGCTTGTGGAGTAAGGCAACAGGGGATCTGGATAATCTGATTGCATCGCTTTTCTGGGCGTCACATCGACTGGTTTATAGAAGTCGAGGAGGGCCCGAGGCTTAGGCAAACACGCCTCAGTGATCCACGCGGTAGCCTTTAACCGTCTCCCAGATTTTCGTACGCTTATCGGGTGAGCAAATCCAAGAGCCGGCCCTCATTCCTCTCTCCCCGTAAGGCGTATGATGTAACGTTCATGAAAACGCATTGTTCAGAGGGCTGAAATTGGCATGTTGTCATAGTCCAGAAGCTTTTCCGAATACGCTGCCCGGCCTGCAACCTACGCTCGTTGCCTGTGGCCCTCCGCTTCGACTCAGAGAGCGCGGGCTTACAGCAGCCATGAGGTCTTGACGCGCGTGGGTTTCGGGCGGCATGGGGAGTGCCCTTACAGGTCCCACGTTTCTTGCTGGCAGGTGGAGGACCTGAGCGGCCTGGACCACTCGACATCCAAGCAGACGCCGCAGCCCATCGCGGTGCCCATCATGGACCTCGGACCGCTTGCCCAGCTGCTAGACAAGGGCAGCATGGAGGAGTTCGCCACCACGCCGTGTCCGCGAGGAACAACGGTCCGCTGCAGGATCACCCGAGACAAGAAGGGCGTGGACCGAGGACTCTACCCGACCTACTTCCTGCACCTTGAGAAGGAGGACAACAGGAAGGTTGGGGCTCGCTTTGTTCTTGAGACCCTACCTCAAGGGCGTCTTGCTTTCGCCAGACGTCTGGTTTACTCACTGGCGTTTGAGTGTGACCAAGCGCAATTAAGCCACTTCTGGCTATTTACGACGAGAGAACAGATGAGCGAGCGAATGCATAGTTGGCGACTGTTTTTTTTTTAATCGAGTGATGGCTTGCTCCACCTAACTAAGTAGCATCTTTAGCACGTGCGCCCACTGGCACGCTCGCGCCGTATGTTGGGTAGACCTGCAATTACACCACATCTGCGTATAACTAGACTGAAGGTTTCGCCTTTTTCGCGAGATCAAGTCTACCATGTTGAATTAAGCTGAGACTGGGGTTGAGAGGAAACATCAAAACGTAGAAGAGACAGAAAATAGAGAGGACGACGTCTCAAACTCAGCTATCTGGTTTATTTAGTCCACTTCCTTATATAGTCTCAAACTCAAGGTCATCTCTACCAACAGAAAACACAAAAGGACGAAGTCTATACAGTTCAAGCGCCACAGTTTTCACCACACAATGCAAGAACGTTGACAACCTTTACGTGTCGACGTGATAAGGCAACATCCCTTGACCTTCAAACTTGAACAAAAGGACAGTTCCTACTTCTGAATCATAACTCGCCCTCTCCACATCTAAAAAAGAAACGCCCACACTGGCACGCTTGTTGGGCCAATACACGTAAGAACCACACACTGCAAAAAAAAAAAATCACAAGCAGGTCGCACTTCAAGCAACCCAAATAAAAATAAAATAAAAATATTACATTTTTAGAAAGCTTTTCGAATTGCTTCCAAACTGTAGCGAAGCCTGACTTATGCAGTTGCTTAGAGACTTTATCCGCACTGTCTCCCTTATTACTCTCTTTACATCGTTCCTCTCTTTGTGTATATTATTTCCGTCTCCAACCAGAGCGCCGTGCAGTTGTTACATTCATGAATATGTTTAGCTATTTCCGAGTTTTGTGCATTGCTCTTCACATTTCTTTTATGTTCATTTAATCTATCATTTATGCAGCGTGACGTCTGTCCTACATACTTAAATCCACACTCCAATGGTATCTCATACACAGCACCTGTTTCGTAGCATACCGACTTTTCCCGATGAGCCTTTTTGCACTCATTCACACCTGTTTGAAATTGCGTCAGTTTACTTAATCTAAAATCTGAACTAAACACCGTGTCTACTCCCAACTGCCTCGCACATGCCTTCAGGTTGTGAGAGATGTCATGATAGTGTGGGATTACTGCAAAGCGGTTCCTCGATTTCTCTTCAGTTTCTCTCCTGCCTTTAATAAATAATTCTAATTGCCTTTTTATAAAACTATCATCATAACCTACACGAATCAACCTTTTCCACTGTCTTTCTACTGATTCAGTGATATGATCGACACAAGACCTTTCTAACGCGTTCCTAACCATTGACTTTACAATCCCCGCCTTTACGGTCTTCGAATGACAACTCATTCTTGGCAAAATCGGTTTCGAGTTTTTTTTTACCATATTCCCAACATAACCCTCGATTCACGTGAATACGTAAATCGAAAAACTGCAGAACATCATCTTCCGGTTTTTCCACTGTAAACTTAAACTCTGGAGCCGTTGACCTTATCACACTTTCTGTGGTTTCTGTTAGATCTTCCGTAAACGTGCATATTAAGATATCATCTACATATCTTCTTACTACTGCCGTACCCGAGGAAAATCCCTGTAGATTATCGTGCACTGCACGATCCAAAGAGTTTAAGTAAACTTCTTTTTTAAATCGGTGCGACCGATGACCCTATACACACACGTTCTTTTTGTATATATACTTTCTTCCTTCGTACTCCACTACCATTGACCTCAGATAAAACTCCAAAATTGTTAAGAAACTACCTACCGATATACCTGATCCCGATTGGAACTTAACGAGATTCTGCTCCAATGCCTCCCTCACTCTCTGCATTAACCGAATATTTTCTAGGGAATAATATAAGTCCTTAATACCCATCGATAACACCGAACAACGCCTTCCATGATGAGTCTCCAAACTATCAATCAATGCATATGAATTTCTAAGTGATAATAAATTTTGTAAGCATGCGTAACCCAACTCCTTTTGTAGAGACTTTGATACCACTTTCTGCCATGTCCCACTCTCATTGATGACCGCACGAAGGGGCATTTCAGGCTTATGGTCTTTTAGGAAAAACTTGATGCCCAATGTTTCATTGCACTTGTGATACATTTTGCTACACCCTTCAATTCATCCTCATTTAGTATTGCACACATGTTCCTTTTCAACTTTACAATGTTCCCTGCCCATTCCGAAAACAAGGTATCCATTGCCGTTTCTGTTTTTTTCTTGAATACTGACATAAGTAAGACTGCAAACCGTCCGGACTTATCTGTTTCTAACAACTCTTGACCACATTGACTTCTCTGAAATTTTTTTTTTGTCCTTTGGGTTCATTACTTTTTCCATCCTACTGATTGCATGATCTATGAAAGCGGCCTTTTCTTCTGGGTTAACCATCCTGGCTACTGCATGAATGGAAGACAACACGTCAATCCTCGAAGGCTTCAAATTCAGACAACACTTCGGTCCCTTAGCTAAAACTTCCTCCGTCCTAGGTGATAATGCTTCGTTACATGGATTGACAACACACTGCCGGGGCTCACACCATACAGCAGATCGAAACCACGATTTCGGACTCCCGTTAACATGAGACTTCAAGTGTTTGATACTGTCTAGGACATGCCTTTGTTTCACATTCCATAGTCGGTCAAACAAAACAAACAAATCTACACACCATTTAAGAGGAATTGTCGCTTATGATGTCGTCACAATTATTAAAAATCAGTGGTGAAAGAATGGTCTGTAAAAAATAAGCCAATGTGCGCAGGTCGGAAGTGATCCGGGCCTACCTCGTAGATAGCGCCAGTTCACTACCTCGTCGTAAGCAATTCCGAGCAGTTGCAACGCAACCCAACCCGACTCTCTTCCACAGGGCTTCTAAAGGTCTCTTTCAAAACTTACCCTGGAGAGTCAGGGAATTACTCCGGCGGGGCATATGACGTGACAACCCAAACAGGGTAGCGCTGGACGCGACTAGCTTTTCGAATGCCAAGGTATGAAACATTTATTCTGGAGTTAGGTCGAGTAAATTTTGGAACTCTGCCCAGGTGTTCTTGCTGGCGGCGCGAAAGCGGAAGAAGAGCGCCACCTCCAATTACCTCATTTCGGTGGACCCGACAGACCTGTCCCGGGCGGGACAGTCCTTCGTGGGAAAGCTCCGCTCAAACCTATTGGGCACCGCCTTCACCGTCTACGACGCCGGCGAGAACCCCAAGAAGAACCCCGGGTCGGCGAGGTCCGAGGTGGCCGCCATTATCTACGTGAGTCTGATTCCCCACTAAACGTCGCATTCTTTTAACATATTCTTCGTGAGGAAGATTCTAAAGACATCTACAAAAAGCTACCCTTCAAAAGTTAGTGTGGTAACCGTGGGTCGAAAATTATTTAGTTTTTCGTCAGACTGGCAGTCATGAGTCACGCCTTACCAAAGCTAGGTGGCGCAAGCTACCACCCGTAATAAATGGTACAGCCGGTAATGTCCAGGCTTGATTACCAGACGATCTACGCATGCCAGCCGCAAGATGGCGGCGCCCAGAGAAAATAGTTGTAAGCGTCTATAGAGTTCTGAAAAGGGGATATCCTTTGGGAATTATGATCGCGCTTTTGCAACCCACTATGGGTCTTCCGTTGACCTCTATTACTTCTCCTTAGACAATTCCTATAATCGCCTTCTGCGTACAGCCATCCTTTTCTACTGGACTATAAAAGCGTTCTGAGCACACGCAGTGGCTCTGTTGAGCGGAATAGCAGACGTCGCGCATGCTTCCACCACAGTTCAGTGACTCGCCATTTTTCACCTGAGTGATAAGCGCTGGAAGAGTGTACAGCCCAAGGGAAGTGAACAGGAAGAGCTTCGGTCGGCTGTTAGCGTGACTGGTGGTCAAAAAGAGAGACTCTTAGAAGGCCATGCTACAAAGCGGTTAGACGCGAACTCTGCGTCAGAGTTTGGCCGGGCACTCAAACGTTCGAGCTCGAGACCTGGTCTAATTATGGGCCGTCTCACAATTCCGAGCCTTCCGCGTAAGAGGTCGTTACATGTCGAACCAAACTTCATTGCCCGGTCGGTATGTTGTTGAACGTGACAAATGATCCCACTGCAGACTTTGCACCTACTTCTTTTTGGTGCACTGTCAGTTGAGAAGACGTGTTGTGTGCACGCGTGCATTTTCTCGGGGATGTGGAAACAAGATCGAAACGATCGCGTTGCCAGTAACAAGACATACATGACTTGCACCTGACGTCATTGCACCGTGCTGGTGGTCATCTCGAGTCATTCCTACCATTCTTTGCCGAAAAAAAATGAATTCGTAGGTGTGAAATGCATGCGCTGAAGCTGCACGCTCAGCAGCAAGGAAACCACAATGGCTGCTGATGCGACGCCAGTGAAAGCCATATGTGTTGGCTATTTGCATCGGGTCCTTTTGAACAGCTACTTCCGCGGCTTCGTCTTTAGACCACCAGGAGCTCTGAATGGCTTATTCGCTCAATAAACCTGGCAAGCGTAGCTGCCACCAGAGCTTTGTGTTCTAGTCGCCAGATGCCGGCGATTTCGCGGAAGTCGCCAAGAGTGTCAGGATGTTCGGTTAAGCGGATTCCGACCCTTAACCAAACTGCTGACCGTGCGAGCTCCAACCTGTGTGCCTCAGGAAACCAACGTCCTTGGCTTCAAAGGCCCCCGCAAGATGACCGTGGTGCTGCCCGCCATGACCGAGGACCACAAGAGGGCAGAGCTTAAGCCCGGCTATGTACGTCCTCGCACTTTTTTTGTGACGAAGAGGGGCTGTCGAACTCGGACTAAGGAGCCACATAGAAACCGGGCAGGCTCGGAGAGTTTGACGGCTTTTTTCCCCCATTGTCTGTGAACAGGAGCACGATACTCTGATCGAGCGCTGGAAGAATCGCAACCTAGACAACCTCCTGGAACTGAGGAACAAGACACCCGTCTGGAACGAGGGTAAGTTATGCAAGCGCGCAGGCCCTCTTCACGTAGCGGCGAAAGCTCTAAGTACGACCGACGTCCGGGAAGGGAGCTGCGCTACCTTCCTTGCCTCTTTCGCGACTCGGATGAGTCACGGAAAAGACAGGAATGGTAGCGCAGCTCTCCTTTCGGACGCCAATCGCATTCAAACTTTCGTTTGCTGTCGTCTTTATGGGGAAAAAGCTTCATTGCCTCAGGTCTCGCGTCTCAGGCAACGGGTTCACTCCTATCATCTTGGTTCACGCCTGACTTTTGAATAGAGCGCTGCATGGCCCTGCGAGGGATCAGCATGTCCTCTCTGGTGCTTTAAAATGTCACATTGACCTCCAGTTCTTGAAATTGCAATTGAGCGTTTTTTTTTTTCTTTGTTATCTGAGCGATTTGCATTAGCTTGCACGAGAAACAAGCGAAACAAACGAACTGATAAAGCGTGACGTTTTCTTTCAGATACGCAGTCGTACGTGCTCAACTTCCACGGCCGAGTGACCCAAGCGTCTGTAAAGAACTTCCAGATCGTTCACGAGAATGATGGTGAGTTAGACTTTCCCACCTACGCATAGTTGAATACGTTACTATATTATTTTTCTTTGTCTTTTAAATTCGTAGGCAAAAAAAAAAAATTAAATAAAACGAGCGGGAGAGACCCGACGTACCTGTATTTGAGCACCCACATTCAAGAGTGTTTTTTTTTTTTTGGAAAGATTAAAAAACCATCAGTCAGGATTGTAGGCGTGCGTGAGCGAATAAAATCTCTAGGATCTTCATCTCCTCGGCGCAAAGACAAATGGAACCTCTGGACGTTTCATTTGGAGGTGTTTCATCTCCTCTTTGAAATACTCAATCAACTCGTGCGTCTTCGTTTTCTCTTCTATTGTGTTTTGCTCGTTTACTTTGTAATATTTTTCCGCAACAAAATTGAAGTTCGAGTTTAGCTCCTCTGCATTTGCTATTCCTGCAAGTAACCCAGGTTTTGCAACCTTACCCGAGTTCATTTCAAATATATTCCGGTGACTGGGCCCTCGCAGTCCAAACTAGGGGTGCTAGAATAGTCCAGAAGCCGAAAGGCGTCATAACTAAACTAAGTACGCCGACTTTATATAACAGACAAAGTAAACTCATGAAACGTTTCGTCTCCCAAGCGGGAAGCATCATCCGGTGTTACTGATGATGCCTCCCACATGAAAGACGAAATGCTAATGATTTGTTTGTTTTGCTATGGAACTTAATCTTTCTTGAGACTAGAGGTCTCCCGAACCTACCATAGTTCGAGTTCGACCAAGTTCGGAAGTTGCAAACGAGCTGGCGCCGCCGTGCGGAGTAGGAGTGCAGCGTTTGAATAAACTAATTCAATGTTTTTAAAGTTTATAAAGTTGTTTTGTTTTTGTTTTTTTGTATGTAAGCAATAACAAATCAGTATCTAAAGTTTAAACCCAATTATTGTATAAATAACTTTTTTTTCCCGCACACTTTGAACTATTTTGCGTAGAAATCGGGCAACACTGTTTTGGAAGTCAAACTTTTTAGAATTTGGCCAAAAGTTCGAAGGTTCGCCGAGCCAGTCAAACCTTGAGGTTCGCCGAAGGCTGGCGGCATATCCCTGGAGTCACTGTACGGATAATAAAGGTAGGGAGGCTTTTTTTATAGTTGCCCGGCCTCCAGCACGAGCTTCTTAATTCGTGATGTAGCACGGCGGAAGGCAAAACAGGCATGCTGGAAGCCGAGCGTTCGAAAGAAGCTCCCTGCCGTTATATTTCTGCCAGTGACAATACGGGAACAAACTGAAACATAGAAGATAAGATTGCGGTGAAGTCAGAGTGGCCATCTAGGAATAGAAGGGTAGTGGCGCGAGCTGCCTTTCAACGTGAAACGTTCTTTGGCTAGGTGTTCTGCGTTTCGTGAATCCCGGATAAAAGGGTGGCCGCGAGGCTTGACACTGATCGGTCTTGAGTGAAGGGAGGAAGGGAAGAGACCATCACAGCAAAAAAAAGCGGTTTCGCAAGGCGGTAATCGAGCCCATACTTTTAAGCGCGAGTATCTTTCCAGCATGCCAGGACACATCGCCGTGAATTGAGGTGTCATTTGGCGGGAAAACCCTGTGGGGCATGCCATCTGCGTCCGGCAGAGAGAAATTTGATGTCGCCTACCCATGTTTGCGTTTGAGTGTGTTTGAGTGCGTTCCGTCGAGAAACGAAAGAAAGCCACCGGCACCTTTGTGCTTCGTATGAAGCGTGGAATCCAATTCAAGGAATAACTTGGCACGCGACATAAGAAGCAGGGATGTCCTGGTTTCTCGCAACCGCAACGCAGTCAAACAGACTCAAGCGCAACTGTGTGTAGTGGTCTTGCCACCCTGTCACGGGTGTTTTTCTTTGTGTTTTTTTAACCCGGGTTAGTGCCGGTAGCCACGCGTTAAGCCAGTCTCTAAGCTAACCGATGAAAAGCGCAGAGGGCGTAGACGCCACACGTTTCACGTGCAATAAAATTGGCTAGCGATTTGCTACGGCTTTTTTTTTTCGACACACTGTCTTCCTCTAACAAGAGCGAACAGAAGCGCCGTCTGTTCCTCGCGCGGAATCTGGTGTTCAAACGCCGCACTCTTCAAAAAAAGCAGACAACACTTTTGTTACCCCTGACTGGAGAGGGACAGCGGGTAGGGATAAAGGCTACTAACCTTTGCGTCTGCCCACTATCCTTCGAATCAGCACTTGAATCTCTGACGTCACCGCAAGCTCTCATCTCCTCTTCTTTAGTTTCTCTTTGTATAGTAGGCAAGGATGCAATTTGACGTCGCGTGTCCTGTTGTCGCCCAGCGGACTACATCGTGATGCAGTTCGGCCGAGTGACCGAGGAGTGCTTCAGCATGGACTTCTGCTACCCGCTGTGCGCCCTGCAAGCGTTCGCGATAGCGCTCTCGAGCTTCGACAGCAAGCTGGCCTGCGAGTGAGCCTGTTCCCACTGCTGCCGTGACCGGCCGACGACGTGTTGGGATCCCGGACTCTGAACCTTCGAGCGAAAACCATCGGAGGCCCGGAGCTCCACCAGTACCAGAAAGACTACGTGCACTAGCGCCTCAAGTTGGACGGTGTCCTTCGTCGTGTCTTCGTGACCACAGGCGAAAAAATACTATAGATGTTTGCAAACACGACCTTCTGGGCGCCGCCATCCTGCTGCTGGCGTCTGTAGATCGTCTGATAGCGAGGCCAGGTTAAGTCTTGCCAACGTTACTTTTAAGAGCTCAGGGCAAGCTCTTCCCGCCTCTTTACACTTTAGCAGAGCGGACACTGAGGAGGGGGCGACCTCTTCTCGAGTATTCGCTCTGCTAAAGTGAAGAAAGCTTTAAGGAGCTTACCCTGAACTTCTAACCTGTCAACCGATATAGATCAACTCAGTTGCGGAAATTCCGCGGAGGCACAAATCCACTTCTCTCCCTCCCAAGGCCGCCATCCGTCGTTCAAAGCGCCGTCTAGATGACCAACTTCAAAACTGTCTTCTTTGGGGCGGCCATGGTAAATCGCCATCTAGACGCTGTGCTTCAAAACCAGTGTATTCTGTAGGGTTACCATACCAGCCGTCTCCAAAGCCGTGACGCTTTTGACGACAGGACGCAGACCTTTAGAAAAGAAGGTGGGGAGGCGGGTACTGCGCGCACAAGCACACGTCTATGATCAGTTCCATAACTGAGTTGATCTCTAAACTCTTAAAGGTTTATAATAGCAGAACAAGTCTCTCCAACAAAGCTCTCTGATCGTCATGATTCGTGGTATACTACTTTCCACTCACCTCGTCTCCAGCGCTCGCTCTGCTAAAGTGGGAAGAGTGAAGGGCTTTGTGGGAGAAGCTTGTGCCGCTTTTCTGAACCTGCGACAGACTCTGGCAAGGTTGAGCCTCGCCGAGGAGTATTCACAGTTGCCAGGCTGGCGCCCAAACCAAGCATTTTCCATCCACAGTGGCCAGACTAGTTTCTGATACGTACCTGCTTGCAGATGTCTATTAAGACTAACTTTTACTCCCTCTCTGTGACTCTCGAGAGTTCTCTTTTCGCCAAAGTTGGCTGTAAATACGAATTTCTGTCCGCGCACGTAACTCTTCTTTTGGACCCGTTGTGCCCATACTATCGTAAGCAGCACAGATTTGACCAATCATTGGCCAATGGCTGGAAATGGTCCTTTAGCCAGTGGCCAGACAGTGGCCATTCATCGGCCAATGCTTGGGAGATGGTTGGTGGCCAATGGCCAATGGCCAGAGAAAGGCCATTCATCAGCCAATAGCTTGCCACTGTCTGGCCACTGGCCAAAGGACCATTTCCGGCCATTTGCCAATGATTGGCCAAATCTTTGCTGCTTGGGATGGTGCCAGGAACGCTTTTTCTATCGGTGCGTTTATCGGGTTCAAATGAAGGGAGTTCCTCGATTTCCGCCTGATGACGTTATAAAAGTGCCATGTTGTCACTGGACGTGATCCTACCCTAGTGAAAAATACACCAGGCCGAGGGCTGGTGTGACTTGATGTGACACCAGACTTTTTCACAGGTGTGATTTAGGACATTTTCACACCAACAATCTGGTTTTCTGGTCTGAAAGCAGAAATCTGGTGTACTGGTGTGACACCAGCAATTTGGTGTTCTGATGTGACACCAGCAATCTGGTGTTCTGGTGTGACATCAGGTTTCGTTGTGGTGTGATACCAGAGCACCTGTTGACTGGGTGTTGCTTTCCTCGCAAAAAGGTACAATGATAGATTTGACAATAACGCCGATGTCGTCAATGCTTTATTCAAAAAACCAAAAAGCAAAACAATAAAGCGTTGGAAGCCTTACTGTTGTAGGGAGTTGGCCGTGATCGACGGGAGCTTGACCGTCGCCACGGGAGCATGTCCGGAACCACTTCGACACATAAAGCGTCGAAGAACTGGACGCCTTGTAGTTCCGCAATTGTCGGCCTTTCAGCTTGCGGTTGACTCGTGTCTTAGTTACGCTAATCCGTTTCGCGTACCCCTCCCCGCCAGTTATCTCCTCTTCTAAGGCATCGTATTCGACAGATGGCTCGATTTCCTTGTCCAGCTTTTTCGGGGAAGCCTCCTTAAGGGAGTGGTGCAACAATATTCAGCAGGAATGTTTTTCACTTTACGCGAGCTTACTGGCACTAATAGGACTCAAGGATACTCGCACGCAACACCACTGGCCAAGAAACTTCTTTGTTGCGGTGTCATTTCAAGGACAAAAGCGATCATTTTCATTCAATCTTTCCTTTGCGAAATTTGATGACGTAACGTGGGGATCGCAGCACACCCCAATGACGATATTTGAATGCGGTTCATAGATTGGACCCGAGCATTGCGTGGGCACTCGATTTGGGCTCGTGATAATTACTAGCTCGAGAAGCATTCGGGTAGTGGCCTGTGTCCAATCGCTACAACGACGACAATAGCCGAGCCATAACAATGTCTGGAAGTCAGCGCGTGTCCTGTGCTTTGCCAACCCCAGCGCGCGGCTATGATCAACATTGGCGACATATAATCGGCTCCAGATCACGTGGCCGCTTGTTCTGACTGCGAGTTGAGGGGGTGAACGCTGCTCGTTTTTCTTTAATTTTTTCTGGGACTTCTATTGCGGAGGGTGAAAAACGAACGCGTGTTTTATAAGTTATTGACGTCAGGGACCCGTTCTAAGCGGTATTTGCGCAAAGTACAAAAATTTTTGCGTCGCCCCTTTAAATAAAAGAATATAAGCTCTTTCTTCGAGCTCACCGACGTCGGTTGGATCCGTGGCCAGCAGGACGCCAATCTCCTTGATCTTTGTTGTGGCAGCTCGCAGGGTAGTCCTCTTTCGCTTGAGGCAGTCGACGCCCTCCTGGCTCGTAGTAGGCATGATCTGGCCGTTAATTCCCGGGTTTTTGGCACCAAAACTGTATTATTACTAGCATCTTTGTTATTTCACTACCAGACCATGTCTAACTATCTTTAGCTCGTCGGGCGTCAGGAAAGCGCACCAACACACATCTTTTTGGCTTCGACTCACACAGAAGACTACTTTATTTTCTCAAAATTCAAGAATAATACTGGCGGAAAGGAAAAGGGAAATCCCCGAAGAGGCGAGCGCTCCAAGCTGTTCAAGGCCGCCCGGAAAAGTGCTGGGGACGAGGGGGCACTTGGTGACCACCAAAACGAGAGGAAATGAGGCACCACGTCGGGGGAAGGGGCGTCTCACAAACTGATCAAAAACACGCTCACGGATGGGGAGAAAAGTCAACAAAAATACGACACTGGTGTCACACTAAACTGCGTGGTGTGCACACCAGGCTGCCTGGTGGGTACATCAGCTTGTGTGGTGTGCCACCAGACTCTCTTGTTGTGCCCACCAGGCTGGTGTGCGGGTACACCAGCATTTCTGGTGGGCAGTCAGGATCTTTGGTGTCAAACCTGGATTCTCTGGTGTCACACCAGGATTGCCTGGTGTATTTTTCATTAGGCTATGTCATGTCACAGTACTGAAGGTGAATGTGGCTGAGGCCTTCTGACAGCTCGACAGTCCGCGGAAGCTTCAGCTGCCAATTCTTGGTACGCCACGACGGCAACGACACTTGCTTCTTTTCCGGAACTTTTTCACCCAACCGCCAGGATCGCGACATCCGACAGCGTGACACTCCAGCTTTTGTGATGTCATTTGTTGCCATATTAGGACTACTTTCGATATATGCAGAACAGGATCGAGGCTAAACAGTCCGGTCAAAGACGCGTTCCAGGAACCGTACTCGAGTCGTACCGCTGTACTGTATATAAACCCTCGCTCGGGTATTGGATATTTTTAGCAAACCGTTACCGTGTTCCGCGTACCGTAGTACCGGAGCCTTTTAAGCAGGCTTTTAAGCGCGCGCCCCGCGGTCACTGTACCACCCAAGCGCACGCTTAAAAGCATGCTTCAAAGGCTCCGGAAGTGCGGTACGCGGAACACGCTAAAGGTTTGCTAAAGCTCAGTACCAGGGTGGCTCGCCGCCCGCTGGCAGGTAGGGAACTTGCTTGTGCGTGATACGAAAATAGTCGTTTTGCACACTACGTGTAGAGCAATTGTAGTAATTGTAATATATATATATATATATATATATGTATATATATTCATTTATTTCTTTATTTATTTGCAAGGAAGGCGAGCTGCTTAGGTATTATTGGGATGTAAAAATGTGCCGCCATTGTCTTTATTTAAAATCGCCTAGACTTTGTTTTGCAATACAAATACTGAAACGGCGCAGTGTCTTGTTTGTTTTCGGGCATCTGGCATTCGCATATTTTATGTGGACTGGCTAAACGAAAACATAACCGGTTTTCGGACATAGAAGCATTAAATAATGATGCTGACCGCTTCGAAACCGTATCGTGCAGCTCATTTACTGCGTCCACTTTTTTTTTAATAAATTGAGTCGTAAGCTGAGAAGTTATTATTCAGTTTGAAGCCAATTTTTTTTACCAAGTTTATTATTAGCAACTAGATACATTCCTTAAAAGTATTTTTCTTTCTTTTTTTTGCCCAATGATTTTTTAAAGACATTTCGCAATTCTTAAGAATCCTTTATTTGTACACTCATTAATTAGTTCGATTCTTGGCAGCCCATTTGGTCCTCCCGGATATGCGAGAGATTTGTGTCATCATTCCAGGACTCTCGGTGCACGCCACGCATGTGTTCACGTTGCGCAATTGTTCATTGAGAGAGTGAAACTGTTCGTGCCATTTATAAACGGTTTTCAGAAGCTTTGCATAGCTGCAGCCGTAACCGACTTTCACTTTTTGTTTCGTTTTTGTTCCTTTCGCTCCGTGCGATCGTTTTGACACCTCAGTGTTGTTGACCCGAAACGCAGTCTTTGTATGGATCGGTTCTTTACCCATTTCAGTGTCCATCGTCTCGGTGGGGAAACAGAAGGTCAGTTATGGGCGGCTGGTACGCGGGAAGAAAGGGTATGTTCCCAACTCCAGAGGAGGCGACGCCACCCAGCGGGAAAGACTTGAAGAAAGAAAAACGGGTTAGCTAAAGGGATGGTGACCCGAAATTTGGATTTCAAGAAAACAATGCTAGAGATGTAGGCGGGACGCTACAATCCCTACAACACTACTAGTAAGGCGATAGACAGTTTTAGTATAGCGTTGCTGGATCTTAAGGCCCATACGCACATTCGCGTTTGAGCGCGGTGCGTTCCGTAGTGGCAAGGGGCGCGTTGCGTTGCGAAGACCGCTTGCGCCAAGCTTGTACGCACAGTTGCGTTGACACGCAGTCAACCGCAGTCAAGAGCCAATAAGAACGCGCTATCGTCGCTAGTGGCTCACCAATAGTAAGCGAAATCCAAGGCAACATGGCGGCGCACGGCGACAGCGTCGGTGTTCGATCTTGGGACAATCTCGCCGGCTTCCCCAACGTTCTGTCAAGCTTGAACCATCGCAGCCTTGGAAA